TTTTTTTGAGACGGAGTTCCACTCTTGGTGCCCAAGCTGGAGAGCAATGGTGCAATCTCAGCTCACTGCAACCTCTGCCTCCCTGGTTCAAGCGATTCTCCTGCCTCAGCCTCCCCAGCAGCTGGGATTACAGGTGCATGTCACCATGCCTGGGTAATTTTTTTGTATTTTTAGTAGAAACAGCATTTCAGCATGTTAGCCAGGTTGGTCTCGAACTCCTGACCTCAGGTGATTCACCTGTCTCGGCCTCCCAAAGTGCTGGGATTATAGGCATGAGCCACCACGCCTAACCTCGGGTATGTCTTTACAGCAGCATGGATAGGGGCTAATATACATACTAACTTCTCATGAGTGCTTCCGGAAGCTGTGTCCTGAGGGCGTAAGAGTTCAAATGTTGGCCTGGGGAGAGGAGGAAAGTCACCGGCCAGAATGAGATGAAATTCATAATAATCCTGTGTGGATTTCATAAACGAGAACAGCCAACAGGAAATTTTGTGCCCCTCTGGGTGGCATTAAATGGCACGGTCTGCCGAGTGGGTGCTTTTCCTTACCATGGGTGCCGAGCTGCCTGCTCACACGTGTATCTTTTATTCGGGTCCTTCTCCATCAGGTTCCGAATGAAGTCTTTTGCTATTCAAAAAGAAGCCACAAGGGAAGGAATCACTTTGCCGCTTGAGATGTGACGATGTGATCCCACCAGGTCTTCAGAAAGAGCATGTGTAACATGAAAAAGACGAGACCAGCCCTGCTGTACCTTGGACACAAAGGCACCAGCATGTGGGGAAGGGAAAGCCAGGGCTTGGCACTCCAGGGTGACCCAGTAGTGAGGAGGCAGCCTGGGACCCTGACTGCCAGCTCCAAGACCCTTATCTCCAGTGGTTAGTGATACGCAGGCTGAGAGAAGAGAGGAAATATCTTGGTAATCATGTGCCTCTAATGAGTCTACCCTGCCTTAGAGAACTGTTTTGGTAACATCATCTCCATGTGTTAGACGTGGTTGATTCAATTAAACCTGCTGAGCACCTGCTCAGCCCCCCAGGTCTTGGGCTAGGCTCTGTGAATACCAAGTCCCCAGAAAGCACATGTGTGGCGTACTCTGGCTACTACAAACCCTGGAGCAGGAAACCGTGATGCAGGGAGCTATGCCCTCCTGGGGGAAGCAGGGAGTACCTGGCAGCCCAGGAGAGGGCACGGCCCAGAAGCAGGACCCTGGGCAATGGAGGGGCCGGTGGCAGAACTGATGACATCATGGTCAGGTCCAAAATCTACTGCACTGCATGGTGTGGCCCCTCACTGCCCACAGGACTGGGCTTCTAGAGGAAGGCTGTGCTCTTTTGAGCCCAGAAGGAACACATTTCCCATGAGGCTCTTTCCTGCAAGCCTTGTAGAACTATACTCTGGACCCACGTTTTCAGAGACTGAAGATAAAACCAAGGCATTTCCATGTAGGAGGAAATAACATAAATAATAAAATGCTCTCTTTGAATAGCTCATGGAGACTGTAACATATCGTCCCATTCATGATTTCAATTCAACCTTCTGCTAGACTCTATGGCAGATGGAATAGTATTACCAGCCTCATCTTACTAGTAAGGAAACTGAGGTTCAGAGAGATTTCATTAATTTCTACAGGCCTTGATTTTGATCTTTATCCCCGAGGAAGGAACAGCGAATTTCCCTAGAACGTTTCAGTGTGGCATTTCAAATCCCGGCTCTGCCACTTACTAGCTGTATGATTTTGGTCAAGCTATTTCACCTTCTGGGGCCTCGGTTTCCTCATCTGTCAAAAGGGGATAATAGTAATACCTGCCTGACAGGCTGTCCTGAGGACTGAGTGAGTCAGCACACAAATGGTGCTAACTTGCGCGGAGCATACAGTCAGAGCTCAATAAATGCTAGCTACTACTGGTTTACTTCTGGAGCACCCAGAACTCCAGGTCTAGGAGAGTTGGATGAGTGGGTCCCCATCTCTCAGCACTGCTCAAGCCAGATGCCCCAACCTTATCCTCTTTCATTGCAAGTCAAACCCACATATGTAGCTCGTGAAGCTTCCTGAGAGCTGCTATGAACTGTGTGCTGTGAGTGTGTTAATCCCCCACAGTTCATATGCTGAAATCCCAAACTGTGTGATGGTATTTGGAGACTGGACCTTTCGGGGGTAATTAGCTTATGAGGGTGCAGCCATCATGAATGAGATTATTGCCCTTATCAGAGACTTAAGTGAGCCTCTCGTCCCTTTTGCCATGTGAAGACACGGTAAGAAGGACACAGTGAGAAGACAGCAGTCTATGAACCAGGAAGTGGGCCCTCACCAGATACTCAATGTGCTGGTGACTTGATCTTGGACTTCTCAGCCTCCAGAGCTGCGAGAAATAAATGTTTGCTGTTTAACCCACCCAGTCTATGGTATCTTGTTACGGCAGCCAGCCAAGACAGGACCCTCAGAACAGCTCTGAGCCCCCCAGGGTCCCCTGGGCCCATCAGGGTCACGTGGTCTGGGTGTAAGTGTCGCAGGGGCGGCCCACTGGGAGCTGCCTGTGGGAGACCTACCAGAGTCGGAGATGTCATCCCAGTAGGGAGAGTCAAACTCATATTCCGCCTTGAGGATCTGCTCAAAGAGTTTGGAGTCATTTTCATCATAAAAAGGAGGGTAGCCACACAGCCTGGAAGATAAAACGGAGTAAACGCTGGAACATCTGCATATCCACTGTGGTGATTTTACACTTGGCCCAGAAGGAAGACACATTATCAACTGAGTTAAGAAACTCTCGCAAGGCACGGTGGCTCACGCCAGTAATCCCAGCACTTTGGGAGGCCAAGGCAGGCAGATCACTTGAGGTCAGGAGTTTGAGATCAGCCTGGCCAACATGGTGAAACCTTGTCTCTACTAAAAAATAAAACATAAAAATTAGCTTGGCGTGTTAGTGGATGCCTGTAAGCCCGGCTACTTGGGAGACTGAGATGGGAGAATTCTTGAGCCTGGGAGGTGGAGGTTTCAGAAAGCCAAGATTGCGCCACTGCACTCCAACCTGGGTGACAGTGAGACTCTGTCTTAAAAAAAGAAGAAGAAGAAAAAGAAAGAAGGAAAAAGAAAATCTGCACTGTGTATGTTGCAAATACAATCTCAGTCAAGGAACCACACATTCCACAGGTATAGGTGGCACAGAAGTAAAACTGCGATTTAATAAATAGCCAAAAGGGTCAACTCAGGCAATGATGAAAGGTAAATACAACTACTGAAGTCCCCCTAACTCTGCACAGCATCACCACAGAATCCCACACATTCTAAAAGCCTACAGAGAGCCTTCTGCGCATAAACATTACTGAGCTTACTGTATGTAACACTGTCCCTAACAGAGGATGAGCTGATGGCAAAAACAAACAAAATACATATTTCATATCCATTTCAGGGCCCTTCCAAGTTCGTTTTATTTCAGAAATCATCAGAGGAAGAAAATGACATTCTATGACCTTGAGTATCAAGTTGCCACAATACCTGCACACTGTCACACTCATAACCTGCACCTCCTCAGGCTACCAAGCCCAAACTGGGGACACGGAGGTTTGTGGTTTTGGCCATTGACATGCAGTAAGTATCAGCAGGGCTAACACAGTTCATAAGACTGCAATATCATAATACCATCCATTTTTCTACAGAACCATTTCAAGGTTGATTTTTAACAGATCATATTGATGCTGATTCAAGTGACTTATAATTGAGAGTTCAGGCGGAACAAGAGTCATCTGACACACATCATGGGAGTGGCAATCCTGATTAACTAGACCCGCTACAATCCATCCCATCAAATCATGGATTCTCACCCCAGTTCTGCAATCAGTCTCAATGCCACCTTTACCATTGAAGCTTTTCTTGGACCAAAATTTCCTTCCCTGAAAACATACAGGGCTGGCCTAGAAAATTCCTAATATTTTTTCCAGCTTTAAGATGCTGTGGCTCTATGATTCAGTTTGGCCAGCTTAAACACTCAGGAAAGCACCTAGAACATGCATGGGGCCCATGTGGAGGCAGGGGCAGGCCTTGGTGGAGAACGGATGGCCAGCAAGAGGTGGGCCTAACGCTGCAGCTGTAAGTGACCACAGGGCAGGGGAAGGAAGGTGATGCCTGATTCCAGAAGGCCAGGGGAAATGCCGCATGGTGGAGAACTGGCTTCTCTGGCTGCGACAACCCAGAGGGTGGCAGCCACGTGGGAGTTTTTTTCTTTTTTTCCTTTCTTGAGACAGAATCTCCCTCTGTCACCCAGGCTGGAGTGCAATGGTGTGATCTCAGCTCACTGCCACCTCCACCTCCACCTCCTGGATTCAAGTGATTCTCCTGCCTAAGCCTCCTGTGTAGCTGGGATTACAGGTGCCTGCCAGCATGCTGGGCTAATTTTTGTATTTTTAGTAGAGATGGGATTTCATCATGTTGGCCAGGCTGGTCTCGAACTCCTGACCTCAGGTGATCCACCTGCCTTGGCCTCCCAAAGTGCTGGGATTACAGGTGTGAGCCACTGCACCCAGCCCATGGTGGGAGTTTTGACTGAAACAAGCCCTGACCAACACTGTTCAATACACAGCCATAGCCTAGAGACCAGTGTAATGAGAAGAAATTAACAAGAATCAACAGACTGCAGGACTGCGAGGGATTAGGCTGTCAGCGAACAAGAAATGCAATAAAGGTTAGAAACACCACCTTGGTACTGCCGTTCCTCAGCTGTTCCACCCATGGGACGCATATCAGCAGTCACTGCTGCGCAGGGGAGTGCCTGATGACATTTTTAAGGCTGTGAGACATTCTGTGGGCCCATAAGAATCAAAATCATCTATCCCTGCAAGGTTGCTCTAGGGGCTAAGAGCCTGGAAAATTTCATTTTTAAAGATGTGCTGCTTTTGGTGAAATGAACAAGAGCCAGGGCTTCTGAAACCACCAGGCACATACTTCACTGCCCACGGAAACCCTGGAGCCACAAGACAGGTCTGCCCATTCCTCCCAAAATGAGGATTCGGGCAAAATGAAATGTGCAATTAGGGAACCCAGAAAGAGCAAAATGTTAGCTTGTCTTGGAAAAAAACTAAATTCTAGATATGTGAGGTTTTTGTTTATTTACAACCGCGTGTGTTCTACTTTAGGATTTGGCTTTCTTTTCAAGGAAAAAATGCTTTAAGAAAATTCCGAGAAAGATTTATTCTCCAGTGCCAATTTTTAAAATGTATATTCCAGTTTTTTCTGGTCTTAGCTCTTTGTTGATTCTGGGGTTTTTTTTGTTTGTTTTTTGTTTTTTTTGTAGAATATTGTGTTCATGCGGTTGTACTGAGGACAGGGAAAAGGAAATGGATCACGGATTGAGCTTGGAGTCTAAGTAAGTTAAAATTAGGAAAAAAGACTGAAACATAAGGATTATAAAATAACAGAAGGGCAAACAGAAGTTACAAATTCTTCCTTAGATCTAGAAATTTCAGGCTGGGTGCAGTGGCTCATGCCTGCAATCCCAGCACTTTGGGAGGCTGAGGCAGGCAGATCATGAGGTCAGGAGGTCGAGACCAGCCTGGCCAACATGATGAAATCCCATCTCTACTAAAAATACAAAAAATTAGCTGGGCGTGGTGGCACGTGCCTATAGTTCCAGCTACTCAGGAGGCTGAGGCAGGAGAATCGCTTGAACCCGGGAGGTAGAGGTTGCAGTGAGCCGAGATCGCACCACTGTACTCCAGCTTGGGCAACAAGAGTGAAACTCCATGTCAAAAAAAAAGATAAAGAAATTTCAGAGAGCTCCCTGGCCAAGCTAAGTGACAACCTTGGGCTGTTTAACTTCAGGGACCCTGGGGCTGCCCATTCACACGGGTAATCCCTCTGTTATTTACTAATGTTCCAGAAGTGCGGCTTCTTTTACATTTCAAGTCCTTTAAATAATCTACAGATTATATCACCAAGGGTCCTCAAAGGCAATGACAAAGCTTCTGATTCAGAATAAGACTTGTATCTGCAACTGTCATACCCAGTCATGGCAATTCACCTTCAAAGCATTCTTCATTGCTTCCATCCCAGCCTCAGGTCTATCTTCTAGAAAGAACTCTCACACCTTACAGTCTTTCCCGTTGCCTTTCTCCCTGCTACCCTCAGCCCCTTGGGTCTACAGGTGCTCAAAGCTCAGCTGCAAGGAAGCCCAGAGTCACGGGTGCTATTCCTTCTGGTTCCCACACCTCCCTTTCTGTATACAGTCCTCAAACAACCCCCATTTTAAAGGCAAAGAAACTAACATGCAGCAAAATCAGGACTTGAGCTGATTCTGTCTGATTTTAGGCCTGGGTTCTTAACTATTTTGCTTATGCACTAAAGGGAAAGGGACTCAGGAATTGAACTTTGTGCTTCAATCAGACTTTGCATTCTTTCTGTGGGGTGTTTGGTTTGCCCTATCTGCCTCTGCATCTACAAGTGGAGCCCTCTGATGGGACCCTGCCTCTCTAGCCCCATCTCCCACAGGCAGGGTCTTACAAATAAGGATGCTTGGACTGGGTGTGGTGGCTCATTGAGAGGCCAAGGTGAGTGGATCACCTAAGGTCAGGAGTTCGAGACCAGCCTGACCAACATAGTAAAACCCCATATCTACTAAAAATATAAAAATTAGCCGGGCATGGTGATGGGCACCTATAATCCCAGCTACATGCGAGGCTGAGGCAGGAGAATCACTTGAACCCAGGGGACAGAGGTTGCAGTGAGCCGAGATCACGCCATTGTCCAGCCTGGGTGACAGAATGAGATTGTCTCA